CCCTGCACGGATTTCATGCACCGGGCCTCTAGAAACTACATAAAATTAATAGTTCAGATCAGCTAAGTGTTATCTTTGCAAGCCACATGGAACATGAAAATGGCTTTGTTTCGTAAACTCTGGTGTAAAGGTTACTTCACACACAAAACGATCCTCTGGGCTTTCAGATTTGTAACTAAAACAGCGCGTTACACCTTCAGAAAATTATACCAGAGGCCATTATTCTTCCAAGATCAGGGAAAGCAGGGAGTGCCTGCTCCAGGAATATCCCGGTTCCTGAGGGAAGAGTTTCTCTATGTCCTCATTCACCAGCAGTAAAAACAGTCAAATGAAATAAGCTCATAAAAAGCCCTGAAAGGCTGCTTGGAGCCTGAAAATCTGATATGAAAATAGAGGACCAGGCAACACAGATAAAAGAGACCATCATACTTTCAAGTCAACTCCAGTTATTTCTATAAAAGGGCTTGTTGGGATTACTTCCAGGGACCTCAGAGACAAAATTTCAAAAAGACGTGGGGGCAGAGGCACAGAAAAGAGTACGAAAAACACACCAAACAAATGTCAAATCCCTTTTTCTTATGCTTTTCCAAGTATTCTAACTGACTTCGTGGAAATAGGGGGGAGGCGGAATCAATAGATAGATGCCAATTTGTGACCCAGAAAATAGTCTTACTGGTTGTTTTTTACACGTCTTGAGCAAATATCTTTCCTAAGTTTAACATAATTAGTCATCTGTTCCCTGCATTAAATAAACCTAAAATGTAAAATTTCAAATTTACAAAAGTGAAATGGATAAAGTTAATGCATGAAAAAAAGTTACTGCATTAAAAAAAAAAAATCGCATCTGATGACCTAAAAGAGCAAGTACTTTATCTGTGATTTTAAACCAGGATTTGACTTGACTTTTCAGGAAGGTGTTCATTATGCTGAAAAGGCACACGTGCATTTCAGAAGATACAGGCCACGCCACGCCAAGTGACCACAAGCACCCAGCTCTGGTCACTGTAACAGGAGAAATAGCGCTGCTTTTGAGGTGCGCTTGTCTGTGTTACTTCATCACCTCATTGTTAGCAAATCCAAGACGGACAAAAATAGATAAAATCAGATGAGCGCCTCAAATGATCATCAGACTGAGAAACTGTGTACAACACCCAAAAGAAACAAACACCAGGATATTAAAGAGCCGAGTTCCCGCACAGGAACTATTGCAGCGATGATAAAAGACGTGCTGACCTTCTCCTTCAGCTCTCCAAGGTAAGCAGTGCTTTGTCCGAGGATAGCCTCTGCAGACTCCTGGAAACAAGTGACCCACTGATTCTCTTGATAATCGGCAATATTTACCTACAAAATACAACTCCATTAGCTCAGCAAAGAAATCACAAAAGGGAGACACATTCAAGAGATGGGAGATTAACTTTTTCCACTCATTAAAATAATCACCAGGGGGAAAACTATACCACCATGTATATATATTCTTTCCAAGGATGTGAACAGTATCATACAAAAAGAGTTTAAAATGTAAGTGTGGCCCTGGCCGGTGTGGCTCCGCGGGTTGAGCACCCTCCAGTGCACTGAAAGATCACCGGTTCGGTCCAGGTGCATTTGGGAGGCAACCAATCGATGTCTCTCTTACATCAATGTTTTCTCTCTCTCCCTCCCTTCCTCTCTCTTCATCTCTCTCATCGATCTTTCTAACTCTCTATCTCTCTCCCTTCCTCTCTGTAAAAAATCAATAAAATATATTTAAAAAAAATAAAAAAAAAAAATAAAATAAAATGTAAGTGTGGCCCTGGCCGGTGTGGCTCTGCAGGTTGAGCACCCTCCAGTGCACTGAAAGGTCACCGGTTCGGTCCAGGTGCATTTGGGAGGCAACCAATCGATGTCTCTCTTACATCAATGTTTTCTCTCTCTCCCTCCCTTCCTCTCTCTCCATAATCAATAAAAACATTTTTTTTTTTAAATGTAAGTATCACAGCACAAATACGATCTGCTATGGATGTGTGGATTCAGGCCTCAATGCAGATACAGCCCGACCCAAACTCTCCTTCAGACGTAGAATCCAGGCACACTGGACTCAGCTCCCCTCCAGCTGCGATGGCTTCTGGACTAAAGGTTTGAATAAGCTCCCAATAGTCAGGGCAGGTTCGCCACATTTTAAACAGTGTGACCTTCAGTCACTAGGAGGAGATCCGAGGGGCAGCTCAGTCACTGCTGAGCATCCCAGACAATTTAAAAGCCTGACCTAAGGGCCTATGGTCAGTCACCAAATTTACCTAGCAACAGAAATGAGCAATTAAGTGTCTCCAGTTGGACCATGGTGTAAAATTAAATGGAGAGTCAAGGAAGAAAGTGGGTCACAAAGAACCCAGTTGCTAAAAGGGAAAAGTATATAAAAGGCTTAGTAGAAATAAGAGGGCCCTGCTGGGTAGCTCAGAGAGTGGTCCAAATACGCCAAGGTTGCGGGTTTAATCCCGGGTCAGAATCAACCAATGAATGCGTAATTAAGTGGAACAACAAATCAATGCCCCCCTCTCTCTCAACTCAATAAATAAAAATTTTAAAAAGAAACAAAAATGAGGCCAAAATTTTTTTATAAAGGTATCATTTTGATGATTTTACATATTCACTTTGCACATACATGGGGTAATATATAAAGTTATGATGAGAAATGTAAGGGCATATCACAAAACGTTCAGAAATGTAAGGGCATATCACATACTGGGGCTCACACCTACAGTTCACCCCATGCTATCCTCCTAGAGGCAAAGGGCGCCCACTTTCCAGGGTGAGAACATCAACAACAGACACAGGTGTACGTGTCACGTGAAACCAGACGCCAGAGACTCCACTTAGAAGGAGCATCTAACAGAAAGACTAATGAAATAAACTACATGAAACAATTTCCTTCACTTCAGTTCAACTGAAGTATGTAGTTTACAGAATATAAGAATTTTAAATATATAACTTTCCTCCTGAATTAACATTTTAAGGGGCAATTAGAATATTGAAAGGATAATGGAATGCCTTACTTTTTTAAAAAATATATTTTTACTAATTTTTTTTTTAGAGAGAGGAGAAGGGAGAAGGGAAGAAAGAAACATCGATCGGTTGCTTCCTGCATGTACCCCAACCCTGACCGGTGATTGAACCCACAACCTGGGTATGTGCCCTGACCGGGAATTGAACTGATGACCTTTGGATGTACAGGTCGATGTTCAACCAGCTGAGCCACAATGGCCAGGGCTGGGATGCCTTATTTTTTATCTAAAAAGATTAAAAAAAAATTCCTATTATAAGAGTATTCTCTGCAAGGGGGAAAAAAAAGAAAAATGCAAAAAATTATAAAGAAAAATTAGCCAGCTCTAGCTGGTTTGGCTTAGTGGATAGAGTGTCAGTTTGTTGACTGAAGGGGTCCTGGGTCTGATTCCGGTCAAGGGGCACAAGCCCAGGTTGTGGGCTCGATTCCAGGTAGGGGCATGAAAGGAGGCAGGCGATCAATAATTCTCTCTCATTGTTGATGTTTCTATCTCTCTCTCCCTCTCCCTTCCTCTTTGAAATCAATAAAAATATATTATAAAAAAAAAAAAGAAAAATCAACCAGAAATAACCATTATTCACAGTCTGGTATTTGCACCCGTACTTGGTTTACATAACTCAAGACGATAAAACATACCATTTAAAATTTGCCATTTTTAAGTAATAAAGCCTGAACATTTATTTATGTATTTTTTTGTTAATCCTCACCAGAGGATATTATTTTTTTCCCATTGATTTTTTTTTTAGAGTGGGGGTGGGGGGGAGAGCGAGAGAGAGAGAAATAGCAATGTGAGGGACACATTGACCAGTAGCCTCCCTCAACCACCCGACCGGGGCTGGGGATCAAACCCGTAACCCAGGTACGTGTCCTTGACCGGAATCAAACCTGTGACCCGCTCTAACCACTGAACAAACCAGCCAGGGCTATTTATGTCATGTAATAGTCTTCGTTAGCATTGCTTTTCAAATATTTTAACTGTGGAAACTATCAAACAGCATATTCTAATGTCTTCATGGTATTCCGCTCTACAGATATTCAATAAAGGAATTAACCAGCAGACTATGAAGGACATTTAAATTGTATCCAAGTTTTCAAAACAAGTAACAGGGCAATAGACAACTTTATAGAAATGTAAGATTTCCAATTATTTCTCTAGAAGAAATTCCCTCCAGTGCTTACTATATCAGAAAACATAAATATTTTTAAGGCTTCCGGTATATTACCACCAAATCATCCTCTAGAAAAACGAGTGCCTGTTTTTTTGTGTACCTTTATCATCATTTAGTATAACTTTTAAGAAAACACACACCCTTCGTTTTAAAGGTTGTTAAAACCTTTAAAGAAGTTCTGACAATGCAAAGAAGCCACAATCCCACATCAGCATGCAGTCACATTCCTCTGAAGTCAGCTCTACTGAGGCAAGAGGAACAGATTATCCACAAGAAAAATAACTAAATATAGGAACCGGCTGCATAAGTATAATTACTGCTCTCCAGAAATGCCACTGCAAATTAATTTATCTTCGTAACAGTTAGCGGGCAAGTGCCACCCATGCTGTAATTGCACTACATGCGCAGCAGACTGAAATCAGCTGGGGAGCTCAATGCAACTTCCTGGTAGGAAAAAATGCTTCCATTGGGAGCAGACGGACTGCTGCTCAATGGCAAGGCCCTGGCTTTTGTATTTATGGAACAATAAGCTCGTCAGCACTTACTCATCTGCAGGCTTCGTACCACGAGTGATCGTTTTTGCTGTTTCTACAGTGCCTGGCCTCCGGTAGAGACTCAAATACCACGGTGGTTCGCATCTACCCATTCTACTTACCGACAGGATCATGCGGTACTTGAAATTGGGAAATTCGCGGTCACACTTCTCACAGCGGTATAATCCGTTCTGTTGATCGATCACTTTCTTATTGCAATCCTGAGTTGGGCAGGCCTGATACATAGAGTTCTCTTTGCGAAGATACACCACCGTCGCCACAGCGCTGAAATAGTCTGCCTTCAAGAGAAAAGAGTGACACGAGACACTGAGCAACCAGGCCTCACTCAGGACCGGACTAAGGGGCAGCCCAAGGCGGGCCCTTACACAGAAGTGCAAGTGTTTTTATCGCAATGTGACTACAGGGAGTAAGTCATTGTGTAGCTTTACAAATCATTTGTGCTAAACACAAAATCCATAAAAAGGTAATAAACCATGCATATGATTCCTTAACAATAAAAGAGTTAATTATAAATTAAACTAATTAATTAAAACGGAAATAGAGTATATGAAAGATAAAGACTTCAAGACACAAAGACTAGCTTTCCTGCTCCTCTGACCTCCGAAGGTAACAGACTAGGAAATACTGAATAAGGCAGTAAACCTAATACACCTACGTCCAACCATCCCCCCACATGAAAAACAACAGCAGACACCCTAGCTGGTTTAGCTCAGTGGATAGAGCGTCGACCTGCAGACTGAAGGGTCACAGGCTCGATTCCGGTCACGGGCACATGCCTGGGTTGCGGGCTCCATCCCCAGAAAGGGCGTGAAGGAGGCAGCCAATCAATGATTCTCTCTCATCATTGATGTTTCTATCTCTCCCTCTCTGAAATCAATAAAAACATATATTTAAACAAACAAACAAAAAAAGAAAACACAACAGCAGTGAATTCTAGGGCTCAGAGTCACCTTTATCTTTTCTAGGCTAGGGGTCAGCAAACTTTTTCTGTAAAAAGCCACACAGTAAATATTTCAGGCTTCACAAGCCATTCGGTCATAGTCTGCTATTGTGGGCAAAGCATCCACAGACAATATGTAAACAAAACATGTGGCTGTGTGCCAGCAAAACGTTATTAACACCAGACAGCGGGCTGGATGTGGCCTGTGGGCTGGCTGTCAGGCCCCAGTCTGTCATCAAATTCAGTAGAATCCAACAATAACTGAGCAAGGGCATTCAAAGTGGGGAAATCACTGATAAGTAAACGTAGTGAGGACTGGGCTTTATGCTGTCGCTCTTTGTTTTGCTTTTTAACTCTCAGAGAAAGGATATGGGATGGGTCCTTTATGGGGGTGAACAGGTCCCGCTGGGTATACTCTGAGTTCAGAGCCAAGTCAGCAGTTCTGGGGCTTTCCAATGTTTCAGACCAAAACAATCATGTGGATGTTTAAAGGGCTTGGATGAGTCCTCACTCTAGAAAGCTCAAGAGGAAAGTAATGTCTCCTAGGAGAATGCCTAGAGTTTGTCTGTATTTCTAATTTTTTTTAAAATCCTCATCTGAGGACACTTACAGAGAGGAAGGGGGAGAGAAAGCGAGAGAGAGAGAGAGAGAGAGAGACGTTGATGTGAGAAACACCGTTGGCTGCCCTATGCATACTCCCCAACTGGAGATCAAACCTGCAACCCAGGTATGTGCCCTGACCAGGAACTGAACCGTGACCTTTTGGTGCACTGGATGACGCCTAACCAACTGAGCCACTCTGGCTGGGCGAGTTTTTCTGTATTTCCAGGTAAGGTCCAGATTCAAAGCATAATTGAAAGTTTGTGTACAAACAGGGACTCTCTAGGTCTGATTTCTTATTACAGACTGTCTATCTTTAGATCTTAGAGAGAAATTGGATGATGAGAACCCAAACAGACAAACAGATCTGTCTAATGCTTAGCTCTCAAGGTGCTGTGCAACAACAGTGCATTGTAAGTTGCAGCGGATGACAACGATGGGTAAGGGAACACAGCAAAATGAGACAGTAAGGAGTAAAAACCATATTGTATAATATGGAGACAATAAAGCAGGAATTGCTGTTTTGGGGAAGCATAAAGGAGAGATAATTTAATATTAAACTGTGGACAGAATACAGGTTTAGATCAAGATGGGAGAGGGTCATTCTCTACAAACACCGAAAGGGAAGCTGCATCTAAAGGCAAATGCTAGAGCCAATTCTTGTCAGAGACACTGGCGACTCTCAGCCCAGGAGGGGTTAATATTCTACAGCCAGTGAAAGAACAGGCGAAGTGCCTGACGTCTGTCACTGGGCCCGACCGATGCTCCATGGAGGTGGATATAGAACCTCAAAACCTCTCTTGGCATCTGGGCATTTCCATCTGCAGGAACAATCACGGAAAAGAAATATGGACCAGAAGGCAGTTTACATTGTAATACACAGCTTGGTTATGACCACTTTGTTAAGTTCCCTCTAAGAATCAAGCAACTGCTGAAACCGGTTTGGCTCAGTGGATTGAGCGTCGGCCTGTGGACTGAAAGGTCCCAGGTTCGATTCCGGTCAAGGGCATGTACCTTGGTTGCGGGCACATCCCCAGTGGGAAATGTGCAGGAGGCAGCTGGTTGATGTTTCTCTCTCATCGATGTTTCTAACTCTCTATCTCTCTCCCTTCCTCTCTACATTGTAATACACAGCTTGGTTATGACCACTTTGTTAAGTTCCCTCTAAGAATCAAGCAACTCTCTAAGTCAGAGTTCTTAACGTTTTCTGCCTCCAGGACCTGAGGGATACAGTCTATTCCTTGAGGAAGCACGGCTACTGCTCCCTGGCAGTGATTCCCAACCATCAGGTCACGCTCTGGCCGGAGCCCCAGCCAGATTAATGTCTGACGGCCGGTACCAGAAATCAGATTGAAAACGCTTCCCTCTGCACACTGTATGTGCTTCTGTGAAGAAAGTTAGGAATGCAGGGTACCTTGTCACCGTGGCCCAGGTTCTCCGATTTCACCTCATACAAAGTTTTCCAGTTGGTGTTGCTTCCTGCTGATCCTCCACCCTTTAGATCTGAGATGGAAACACCATCTAAGGCTTGTCCTTCCGAGTCAAACCTGAGGAAGAGACAAATGGCAGACTATGTACTTATTGAATATGCCAGTCATTTCTTTATGCCAAATACAGGCTAGCCACCCCCACCCCACTTCCACAGGTCACGGTCACCTGGGCTGCAATGCGTGCCTTCCTGGTTGTATCTCTGGCCTACTGAAGAAAGGAATGACCTCTTTTTATCTCAATTGCTTTGATGCCCCCCAGTGGTCAAGGAAGACAGTGCCAAAGTACCACTGAAGCTTTTCTTAAATTAGCCTTCCTATCAACATTGGCCCCAGGGCCCAAGGCCAGAGAAACAGTAACCTGGAAAATCAGCAACAGAAAAGCAATAACGTACAGCTCTGGTCTAGTTCTTTGGGCTACTGATGCTCATTCTCCATCCGCAGCTACATTTTTACCATCACTGAAATGTATCAGTATAGACAGTGACAGCCAACATACTGCAAAGGTAGCAAAAAAATGTTCCCATGGTGAAAGAGCTTTTAAACCTGATACAGAGTCCAAAAGATTATATAACCCAAAGTAACTGATTGGAAGGTATGATGTTTTCTTATAGATTGACTTTCTTAGTGAGATTTTTTCTTATGCCAATATTAAAGTTACAATTAATTGGCATTGAATTATTATTAAAATTGATTATACTTCTTGATCGATTATCAGCCAAGATGAAGGGAAGGGGACCAGGGAGAAAGTGGCTCAGACACATGTTTGTGGCAGGGAAGCATGACCCCGAGATTAAAAACATGCCACTGTCATCCAAAGGGAGGATCAGGACCAGCTAACCACATCCAGAGCACGCTCCTTAGAAAAAGACCATCTACTGCCGTGGCTGCTGCCCTAAGCCGCAGACAACTGCCTTCTCATTCTGTCAGGTAAGCGCCTAAATCCGTCACAGAGGCACAGCAAGGCCCATAAATCTGTTTGCCACGACTAGCTACACAAGTTTACGATTTCAAAAACTCCAAGGAGACACTTGCCATCAAAGACAGCTCATCAGGAGTCAACAGAGCAAGGAGAGAGGCAGCCCTTCTTACAATAAAAACTCCACATTGTTATAACCAAGATCTAAACACCTCCAATCCTTGCCGAGTGGATTGTGTGCACTGAACCTCTTAGATCAATGTCCAGTGATTTTATTTTGGAGACAGGCATGTCTTTTTATGCTGACCGGGATGATGGTTATTGACAAGTAAAATATAAAGACCTTAATGTGGGTATGCCATTAACCTGGAGTCAAGCCCCAGAGCCTGGAAAAAAAAATAAAGCAATAAGGATCTAAAGCAGTGGTTATTTCTGGTCAGACTACCAACAGGCCCCTGTCTTAGAATACAACGCCAGCTACCAGAATAGTTAAATACAGACACATGTGGCCCACACTCACGAGACTGGCTTAAGTGACATGAATACTCCAGTCGATGTTTCATGAAACTATTCAAATGCTATACTACTGGTTCCCATTAGCCTCCAAACAAAAGCAGGGAGTATGCAATGTGAGCTAATTCTTTAGTCCTTGAAGCACTAAAACAGCTGGAGACCGACCCCCTCCCCATGACTACAGCCATACAAATTATTTAAGCTCAAGCTAACGGGTTCTCCCTGACCACATCAATTCCTGCATAGCATGTTTCAGTGTGAAGTGCTCTTCTGAGGCAGAGTTTTAACACCCTAAAAACCTAGATACAGCAAGGAGATTTTAATAGGCTCCCCTCATCCCTTGCGTGCTTTGGGAATAACAATAAAATGCCAACAAAAGCCCACTGTTCTCACGGGCACTTTATCAGAGTCCAGTGAATACACACTAGAAGGTGCCGTCGGCACCAAAGACTGGACCGAACAAGAAAGCACTTTCTCCCCCCACGTAGTAGCCCAGGGCTTTAAACCCAGGAGAGAGAGATGCCTTCAGCCCGCAGCTGCTGAAGCCCGGCCTCATCCTGCTTTGGTAGGACTGGGGTCGGCATGCAGCACTTCCATTCTAATTGCCTCCTGCTCCGACTCTCCAGGTTTGTCATGGGATTATAGGTTTGTCAGTTTAAGGGCTTGAAAGCCATCCTCTCAGAAGGTGTAATGCCACCAAGAAATATAGGCACTGCTCCACTCAGTAACCAAGTCCTCTGGCAGGCGGACAGCTCACACACTGACCGTAAGAACCCAAAGAACCAGCTCTGCTAAAAGCTCAGGCTCAAACAGCCCCCTTGTTTGGCCCCATAGCACTTACCATCCACGAAGCTTATAGGCCTCTGGGATGTCAGGATTCAAAATGATGGTGCTGGAAGACAGTACAGAGAGGCTCCGTCCACCAAAATCAGAGACTCTGGCTCCTTTGATAGCCATCACGGGTTGTCTAGAACCATCAAACTTATCAGCCTGCATCACAACAAAAATCCCAAACAGACACAAACAGCTGTCACTGGCAGGAAGAACACACAGAACATTTTTATAGAAAACAAGGCTAACAGTCAACAGCAGAGTGAAGGCAATAAATGGTACATGGAATCTATACAAGGGAACCTCACACACAAGAATCTGCTTAGAGATGCATCAAAGCCAGCCGTGGGCAAACTACGGCCCGCGGGCCGGATTGTTTGAAATGAATAAAACTAAAAAAAAAAAAAAAAAGATTGTACCCTTTTATGTAATGATGTTTACTTTGAATTTATATTAGTTCACACAAACACTCCATCCATGCTTTTGTTCCAGCCCTCCGGTCCAGTTTAAGAACCCATTGTGGCCCTCGAGTCAAAAAGTTTGCCCACCCCTGATCAAAGCTAATGTAGAAGAAATAGCATTTCACTATATAAAGCCTAAACCATTCCAATCTCACAGAAGTAAATCAAATGAAGGATTTCCCACAGTCCGTGCACAGCCCGATCCTTCATCAGGAAGGTCTCCAGGACAAGTCACCCCCTTCTGCACGTGCTCTGGCTGCTCAACACGAGTACTTACATCTTCTCCCCACAGAGTAGCAGACACCACTTTCCCTGACATGTCCATCAAATAGATATTTCTCTTAGAAACTTCTCGGTTGTTAGACTTCACTGTGATTTTAATGGCATCTTCATAGCTCTTGCAGATCCCAATTATGTCTAAAACACAGGCACAATGTTTTAGCTGGAGATGGTCAAGACTCCCCTGACAGCAGGACCAAAGGGTGACCCGCAAGCAGGTAAGCCTCCCGCCTCCCCTGTGTGATAAGCACCCCTCTCTCTGCGCTCAGACACAGGCTTACCGATAAGGGAGTCCTTGGGTTTGCTCTCGAGGTCATCGATCTTTGTGAAATCAAACTGAACTGTAGGTAAATTATGTCCGTCCTCGCAGGGCATGACAGAAGTCTCATTATTGAAGGTCATCTCATAGTCGTTTTTAACTGCTGAGAACTGTTTGTTGGCAATCTTCAGAGTGCCTTTAGTGAAATAATAGACCTGCAAGAGTGCAAGCCACGGAACATGGGACAGTCCATCAAGTCAGACGTAAAGACCCTTTACCGCCACACAGCTCTCTAAGGGATGGGAGATCCCTCATCCGCAACTGTTTCAGTTCTGGACTCAGCACTACATACCTTGTTCACGTCAAGGAGGGGAAAGAACTTGTCCACTTGCTCGTTGAAAGCAGTAGCTCTGATTTCACCCTGTGGATGCACACAAGATGTTAGGATTGTGGTGGTCATCAAGTTCTGCCGTGATCAGGGTACTTTAGTGTCAAATGACACCTTTAAGGAAACACACGTCCTATGGTCACATATTCAAGTTATTAACCCATGAAACAATGTAAGCTTAGCCAGCCGACACTGTTGTCACGCTTTATCAACCTCAGTTAGAACCTAAAAAAAGGAAATAAAAAAAACAACCACTAACCCAATGGTGAGTTGGATATTCTGACAACAAAAATAAAACAACTCTGAACACTGAGTGACACACCGAAGCCCACGCGAGGCAAGCTGAGCCACGATGACTCACCAGCTTCCCTCGCATTCGCACGAAGCAAGGAATTAGTCCACATTCAGGAGTCACTGCCAAAAACGTTACAGTAAAACATGTTTTTTAAGTTGCTCGTGATTTGATTTCACTTTTGCTTTTCATCAGTCCAAATGCTACAGATGGATAAAATAAACTTAAGTGACTGGAAACTTTTGCCAACTGACAGAATAGGCCAATAATTTGATAAAAAATTAAGTTCTGATATTAATTCAGACATCACAGTCAATAAGTAAATTTGGGGTGTCATCCCATCTTCCAAAAACAAAAACTAACTACCTATTTTTTATCTGCTCTTAGAGGCTTAACAAATAGGAAATCTGTTTGAAAAGAATGCTTCAGGCCTAGTCGGTGTAGCTCAGTGGACAGAGCATCAGCCTGTGGACCAAAAGGTCCCGTGTTCAATTTCAGTCAAGGGCACGTACCTTGGTTGCAGGTTCCTCCCCAGCCTGGGCCCTGGTGGGGCGCATGCAGGAGGCAACCAATAGATGTGTTTCTCTCACATCAATATTTCTCTCTTTCTCTCTCTCTTCCACTCTCTCTAAAAAAAATCAATGGAAAAATACCTTCAGGGGAAGATTAACAAAACAAACAAACAAGAATGCTTCAAGTACATACAGTATTAGGAAGTATAAATGAAACTAATGGATAGAAGACTGTGAAGATTTCACAACTTGGATTTTTTGTCTCCTCATCATGGTTATGTTTAAGGAATCCATGTAGTCTGAATAGTCAGAATCCATCTCCCACAAAACCATTCACTTATCACGGTGGCTACTGCGTGCCTGTCACTGTGACTCAAAGCTCCACTTTGCTCCCGAGCACACATCACCTCCTATGGCTTCAACTAAGCCTCCAGCAAGTCAGAGAGAGCACCTCTGCTTTCTCCCGCCCATGAGCCTACTTATACATTTAGGAAACTAATTTCCACTGCTACAAATGCTGCCGTTTAAGGTCAAGGATTTTATTTATGACCTTTGCCCTCAGATAGCATCAAAAGACTACAGAAGAGGAAAAACAACAATAGCAATTATGGCTCTTTTTGGCCTACTATGGTTTTCCACCCCACAGGGCTGGACAGAGGTGAGCTTCTGTTCCTCGGAGTAGAGCACTGCTTGACAGATACTCACACTTTCATCGACTAGTTCTATGGAGAACAGCTTCCCTTCCCCTCGGGAGTTGCTCCAGGTCCGGATCTGACTTTTGTTGGTAACACGAGCACAAATAGTCCACCTAAAAAATCAAACAGAGTACATTAGTATTCCAAGTCTTACTTGGGAAAGATATGAAAGGTTCCCTAACATCTTCCTGCAGCCTTTCTTATCTTGTACACACTCCATTCGTCAATATTAGCTGTATTTTAATCCACCTAATTAAACCCGAAGATGACACAAAGGTTTGACAGTTTATAGAATAAGCAAATAGTAAAACATACAGGTGATTTAACACTAACTCATTCTTCTGTCAAATAAGTAAATTTATAAACTCTCTCCCTTCTCCAAAAAGCATCACCAAGGCAACAATATCCCCTTAATGAAAGGTTTGAAGCTAGAAAATGCAGTAATACCAGCAATTATATTTTGCCACTATTTTCATTATGGGAACCGACACAGCTGGTGTCAAACTTCTGTCTCATTTCTCACACACACTGAAGAGAAATACAAAGCTGTGGGACATGGTGTTGGTAAGTCACCAAAGCAAAGCAGTATGAACTCAGAAGCCACGAAACAGGAGGCACAAGATCCGACACGCAGTCCTGGTGCCCATCTGAACGTGGGCGTTGGGGACATTAGTTCTTCACTTATAATTTCACAGGGAAACGTATCTTCCCTACATTGCAAAGAACTGAAGAAGGCAACTGCTAAAATTAATTTTTAATGGAACAAAGTAATATAAAAGGAACATCTCTTCAGGGTATGTTAATGTGGCTAATACAAATAGGACAGATTCTTTTAGCCAACTCTATCAAAGTAACATTTTTTAGACTAAAAGTCAGCTGTTTATATGATGAGAAGATAAACACCTTCTGAATTAGAATATTTAGTTTTACTCACAAGACTATCAACAAATTCTTTTTTTTTTTTTTGAGACATGTCTACCATAAAAAATATTCTTTATTGATTTTAGAGAGAGGAAGGGAGAGGGGTAGAGAGATAGAAACATCAATGACTGAGAAACATCAATCGCTGCCTCCTGCACGCCCCCTATCGGAGATCAAGCCTGCAACCCAGGCATGTGCTCTGCCTGGGAATCGAACCAATGACCTCTTGGTTCATGGGTCAATGCTCAATCACTGAGCCACATCAGCCAGGCTATCAAATGATTCTTAAAGCATTAAATATTTTAAATTTCAAACTGAATGAAGCCCAATATGCTAGGGCAGACAACTCTTTTGGTCATTCTTGTCTGATAAGTGTTAAAGGTTGCAACAATTTGTACCCTCCTGCCCCTCAGGAAAAAAACAAAAAAGAGGAAACCTATTTTACGTGTGGTAGCAGTTCACTCATAAATAAGACAAGAGCCCATAATAACCCCTTATACTGTTTTTGTTTTTTGTTAATCCAAGGATATTTTTCCATTGATTTTTAGGGGGAGTGGAAGAGAGAGGGAAAGACAGAGAAACATCGATGTGAGAGAAACACATCAATTGGTCGTCTCCTGCACACATCCTGACCAGGGCCCAGGCCAGGGGTGGAGCCTGCAAGGTACATGCCCCTGAGGGGAATCGAACCTGGAACCCCCTTTAGTCCACAGACCGAAGCTTTATCCACTGAGCCAAACTGGCTCGGGCCTCTTACACTGCCTTGTAAGTACATTCTGCACTTATTCTACGGAGTCACTCACTTGGATTGGTAAGGGGTGAGGCTGGCAATGGGAACCACTTTGGCCTGTGATCCCCCGGAACTGTTCACTAGGCTGGTACCTCCAGTTTTCCCAAATATCTTCGAGGCACCAAAAGCCTTAGATACAGTGGAACCTTTAAAAACAAAAAGAATCATTCAATAGAATCATTATTCTATTTAAATTAACTCTCAATCACTGAGTTGTCACTGGTGAAATCGTAACAAAACAAGAGGCAAAGTTTTTCCTTTTGAGCAAACAAGAGATATGGGAATCAAAGAGAGACCAAAACAAGAGGCTAAAAAAACAATTTATAGAGAGGACTGGGCACACAGAAGTTCACTGTGCATTTGCTGACTTAAATCCTGAGGTCAAGATAATGATGGTAATGAATCCAGATCCTGATCCACCCTTCTTAACCTCTTCTCTTGTATCAGTGGGCAAGATCATGGGTCAGAAAAAGAAAACCAACCTCCTTGACTGGTGAAACTGATGGAAGTCACTAGCTGCACAAGGAAAAGAGCAAAAAGAAAGGCCAGGAAGTAAGGGTCATAGTGGATGAACCATCCAAGGTGAAGGATGCCTGTCACAATTATATCACCTCAAAACACCCCCAGAAAACTCCCCGTCCTCCACTGGTCTACAGGACTGACCAGCGCAGAACAGCTTATGGGATTGGGTTTAGTTGGGAGCAAAGGGCAAGAATCGGTTGTTGGTCCAGGACAAGTAGGTGGCCGGCCACCAGGATCCCTTCTGCCTCCTTAATCCAAGCCCACGCAGCTGCCTCCACTGGAAAAGAATAGGTCATTAGAGCTTCTAAGCACATGAACTCCTTTGCACACTGTTTCTGTAAAGCTTCAACCTCCAAATTCAGAAAATATATTTTAGTCCAATGATTTCATATCTTCTATATCAAAACATTTCTTCGTAATGGAATTTGGCTAGAAGTATAAATCTACCATTATTCAGCACTTATTGAGTTTCCACAGCAGGCACCAGGTATTTGTAGCACTTAGTAAAAAAAATATACATAGACTGTCCCAGATTTTAAAATTTTCTATTTTAACTGCAGATTTGAGAGATGGCTACATGCACAACAATGATTATGCAAAGAAACACACGTGCTCTGTAGAATATGTGTGTATGTATATATACCTAATACATAATATACAATTATGTAAAATACACAAACACATCCAGTTTTCATGCCGGTAGCTTCCCCTCAAAACATATCCAGTCTTTTTTCTTTTACCACCCAGCTGATGTGTGTTCAGAGATCAGATTTTAAAAATTAAATATTAATATAAGCCAAAGACAGACAACAGAGAAAATAAGTCTGTGGGAGGAGAGATAAGAATAACAGACTCCTATCTGTATTTCAGCATAAGAAAGTGACTTTTTGGTTATTTACCATTTATTTATTTATTTTAAAAATAGATTTTTTTTATTGATTTCAGAGAGAGAGGGAGAGAGAGAAACATCAATGATGAGAGAGAACCATCATGACCTCCTGGTTCACAGTCGACACTCAACCACTGAACCACACCAGCTGGGCAGCTTTTTGCCATTTTAGATCATCCATTCTACCACCTCCCTTGAACAGTAGATAATTTGACAGTTGTGTATGAATAGATGCACTTAGAGAGAGATAGAAAGTAGGTAGACAGATTTTGTAAAGTAGATGAAAACATCAAGACCAATGGGGAAAAAGTCACATGTCTTGACAGTTTCATAGAAACATTACTGATGTGCTAACTTTGCCTTTTTTAGACTCTTAGCATTGAATAGAAACCAGTTGAGAGGAGAGGATGTGGTGTATGTGAAGCTGAACAGAAAAAAAGCACCTCTAAAGAGGAATCCAACCAAATTCTACAAATCATCGCTTTCAATGGTGGTTCCTGAAGTAAAGGCCAGGAGGAACCAAAATGATTCCATCACAGCCTCCGAGGACCAGCTGCGGAGAAAGTTAAAAGAAGAAACCATTTCTCATCCATAGGACTGAGAAGCAAATCTACGCCCAATATAAATGACACTGTCTTCAAGCTAAGATAAATACTCAAGAGCCCAAAATGGGAAACTTGGAGAGAGACAAGCCACATTTAATAAGCGGATCCTAGATAGTTAAAAGGCTAGAATTTAAAAGCTATGTAAATTCACAAAGTCAAGAGGGTGTAAAACTCCAAGATGTGAGAAACCACCAGACATACTATTAATAGAGAACCATCTATCATACCGATAAAAAATGGCATATTAAGTATCTTTAAAATACTATCTTTAATCATTTTTTCAATCGTATGCTTTGTAATAAGAACTAGACTTATTCTCTGTCACGAATGGCATTCTGAACATTCCCTTTAGTCCCAGATTGAATTTCAAAACATTATTCAAAAGCCTGACACTTATAATCAGCACGTAGCCTCCTGTGGCGGGTCTTACCCATTCCCGAGCTCCCATTCTGTGGCTGGGGCTTGCTGGTTGGTGGACTGGTTGCTGAGGCTGGAGAAGGAACTACCTGCTGTTGCCCGTGTCCTGAGGATCAAAAGAGAAAGACCGTTTGGTGCAAATAATTTGGGTTAGAAGATTTAAACTTAAGCAGAAGAAATACTCTGACAAAATCTGAATGTTCTGATTTTGTCAGACCCTCATGGTTCAGAATTCATGCTGGGGCCGTCAGTAGCATGCAGTGAATCTGCTAGGCGGTTCACTTTTGTTTTCATTACATAAAAGGTTGGCGCCATTTACCTTTCACCTGCTTATAATTGATAGCTTTCGGTTTTAATGAGGTTCTCCCCTAAAGCCTTGCCCATTTCTCTTGCATGAACCTGAGGTAAAGTCACTGGGCTGAATCTGTGACAATACCACTATTTCCATAGCAACAAATCGATGTCATCAACAGAACTCTGTGTTCACGGCAGGCTCTGTTAGAAGAAAAGGCTGGGTGGTAAGAAAAACCTAAAAGCAGTTCAATTGTCTCTGAAGTGCTCCAGCTTCAAAGGAAAGCAGGCATTCAGAAAGGATTCTACCCCTTCCCTCCCAAACAAAGCCGCCTTATTTTGCAACTGACAGTGGTGGAAAATGAGAGTTGAAAGAGGCTTAGGTACCATGAGGTGCCGGAGAACCCTCACAGCGGGGAGAGATGCCAGCGGAGTTCAGAAGCAGGTATGTCAAGGAAACAGGAAGATTAAAAGGAAAGGGGGGGAGATGAACATGTCTCTCAAGCAGAAAATAAGAAATGCCCGCATCCTTCCTACAAATGTTTATGAAGTTGAAAATGTTAAAATGGCAAAATACACCTAATTGGAAAAAAAAAAAAAAAAGAGAGAGATAGATTTGTGGAATTTGACTTGCCTAATTGGCACTGAAAGTACAAGTCAACCTAATCTGGGCTGCTCTCACCAAGAGTGCTTGCAGCACACAAGTGTAGCTCAAAAAAAATTTCCTAGAGAGCCCTAAGAACAAAGATGGTGAGCACAGCCGACCAGCTCCCCTCCTGCCGCCTCGCCTCGGCCCCCTCCAACCGCTGGGCTGACTCCTGTGTCTGGGTCTCCCAGGCCCTCACTCAAATGGGCGCATTACACACCGATGTCACTTCCTCCTGCCAATATTACTCGTCACTGGTACAACTAAATGAGAGTTAGCTGTGCCATTAGAGTAAAATTAATTTAGCATAAAATTAAAAAGGTTAAACGGAATTGTTTATTCTTTACTTCTTCCTATGGAGAGAAAAATTGTCCTTATTTACATAGAAAGAGTCTAGATTCTTGATAATACTGTTAGCTTTTCCACTATCTTGAATTTACAAAGTGTCACAGAAACTGAATGGGAGAATTGCTCTTCTTTGATAATGTGTCTTATGAAGGAACATTTTGAGATTTTACAGTGAGCCTTTTTTTTTTTTTTTAAATCAGTAGGGAAAACATGAGTTGCTCAGTAAACAGTATTAGGAGCTAATGGGGGGAGGAGGGGAGAATGCATTTTCCCCCTGCTTCATGAAATACATTAAAAAGAACGGAAAGATTTAAACATTCAAAGATATTACCATAAAAATACACAAAACCCTGCTCTACTCCACCCTAGTTCTTCTCTCTCTTCCATTGTCTCAAATATGTACAAACTCTCACGTCCTTTTCTCATTACCATGCCCGCTTCTTCAAATAGCTGGTTAAACAGAACATGGTCATGGGACCATGCTGATCGCTTACCTGTAGTTTCTATCAAAACGTAACCATAAGAGATCAACCAAAGGACTTGTATGCATGCATCTGAGCATAACCAATGGACACACACAGTAGGAGGGTAAGGGCATGTGTTGGGGGGTGGGAGCAGCCAGGGAGAGGCCAATGGGGGAAAAAGGAGACTCATGTAATACTTTAAACAATAAAAAATTTAAATTAAAAAAACAAAACAAAACAAAAAAACACATAACCAACCTTGCCCTAGCTGGTTTGGCTCAGTAGATATAGCATCAGCCTGTGGACTGAAGGGTCCCAGGTTCAATTCCAGTAAAGGGCACGGGTTGTGGGCTCGATCCCCAGTTGGGGGTATGGAGGCAACCGATCCATGGTTCTCTATCACCATTGATGTTTCTATCTCTCTCTCCCTTCCTCTGTGAAATCAATAAAATTAAAAAAAAAAAAAAGTAACCAACCTTTATGAGGCACCTAGAGTAGTCAAATTCTGAGAAAGAAAGTAGAACAATGGAGTGGAAAGTGGGGAGTGATTGTTTCACGGGTACAGACTTTCAATCTGGGATGATGAAAGAGTTCTGAAGTGGGGATGGCTGCCTAACAACAAGAATGTACTTAAATGCCACTAAACTGTACACTTAAAAGGTGGTGAAGGTGCCCTGGCCAGTGTGCCTCAGTTGGTTGGAGCACCATCCTGTGTACCATAGGGTCTCAGGTTCTATTCCCAGTCGGGGCGTAAACAGGAGGCAACCGATTGATGTTTCTCTCTTGCATCAATCTCTCTCTCACACATACCAATGAAAAAATATCCTTCGGTAAGGATTTTTTAAAAAATGGTTATGGTATAAATTTTGTTATGTATACTTTACCACAATTTTTATTTATTTTTAATTGATTATTGATTTTTTAGAGAGAAAGTAGGCATTGATAATAATAGCTACCATATTTTGAGTGCTTACTATGCACCAGGTATAAAATTAAGCGCACTGTTCCATTTAATCTTTAACTCTATGATATAGATAGTATTATTATACCCATTTAACAGATGAGAAAACTGGGTTACAGAGGTCAAGTAACTTGCCCAAAGTCACACAGCGAGGAAGAGGCAAAGTGTCATCTTGAACCCAGATTTGTCTGGTTAGATCCATCTGCTTCACTATGCAGTTAATTTTTAATTGTAAGCAACCGATTCTGGCAGCTAAAATTCTAATTACATAGAACATAACTAATAACCCTAATATCTGGTAGCTAGGAAAAGCTACTAATCTACTTATCAGAGCAATCATCAACTCCTGCTTTGGACTACATCTGCAAATCTGGCACAGGACACAAGAGACGGTCTCAAAGTAACTGGGTGGCAAGGACCCTGGTGCATCCTAAAGAGCAACCATTGCTCTTCAATTTAATGCACTGCAATACAGCCACTGACCAGAGACCTGAAAGAAATTAGTCTACAGCTAAATAAACATCTTTCTAAAATATAAAATTATACCCCAAGACAGAATGCATAGACTCAACTTCTGATAATCTGTTTTGTGCCACCTGCAAATCAAACCATTTCAGTAAGAAGGATCAAGATTGTAATTCGTAGACTCTTTTGTTTTATGCTGGCTTCATATAACTGGCTCAGACCCAGGAGGAAAATAGGATATTTAAAAGTAGACTCTAGCCCTAGCTGGTTTGGCTCAATGAAGAGAGTGTCGGCCTGCAGACTGAAGGGTCCCAGGTTTGATTCCAGTCAAGGGCACATGCCTGGGTTGTGGGCTCGATCCCCAGTAGAAGGCGTGCAGGAGGCAGCCAATCAATGATTCTGTCTCATCATTGATGTTTCTCTCTCTCCCTCTCCCTTACTCTCTGAAATCAATAAAAATATATATATTTTTTAAAAAGTAGACTCTAGCTCCTCAAGTTACTTGCACTCACACCTATCTTTTTGTTGTTATTGTGAATCCTCAGCTGAGAATATTTTTCCATTGATTTTTAGAGAAAGTGGAAGAGAGGGGGAGAGACAGAGAGCAAGAAAGAAAAACATCAATGTGAGAAAGACACATCAATTGTTTGCCTCCCACACATGCCCTGACCAGGGCCAGGGATCAAGCCTGCAACTGAGGTACTTGCCCTTGACAGGAATCAAAACCGGGACCCTTCAGACCTTGGGCCGACCCTCTATCCACTGAGCCAAACCAACCAGGGTCTATCACAGCGGTTCTCAACCTGTGGGTTGCGACCCCTTTGGGGGTCGAACGACCCTTTCACAGGGGTCGTCTAAGACCATCGGAAAACACATATATAATTACATATTGTTTTTGTGATTAATCACTATGCTTTAATTATGTTCAATTTGTAACAATAAAAATACATCCTGCATATCAGATATTTACATTACGATTCATAACAGTAGCAAAATTACAGTTATGAAGGAGCAACGAAAATAATTTTATGGTTGGGGGTCACCACAACATGAGGAACTGTATTAAAGGGTCATGGCATTAGGAAGGTTGAGAACCACTGGTCTATCACTTTTATTATCATTATAATGGCAAGTGAGCCACCAGCAGATAAATATTAGGTAACGCATGATGGAGTACAGAGTGACAAAAACTCAATTTCTACTAACAAGTGCTTTCTTAACAACAGGCACAAAGACTATAAAGAGTCAATCCAATAGTTATAATTTCCTGCTGGCAGAAACAGACAGAATTGGGCTGAAAAAAAATCCAACTAGTAATAATAAGCAATACTATGAAGGAGCATTAAGAAATTTAGTAGCATGTAAGTCTAAGTAAAATAATATAGGTTGAAATGGTGTAAGTACATAGAACTGATATACATATTGACAAAAATATATAGTGGTTAATATGGAAGACTTAAAATCATCCAATCCAGCATTGTAAGAAACAGGAATTGTGTTTGAAGTTTCATTTCTCACATTTTGAAAATCCTGTATTTATGTGATGTAGTTAGTACTAGTACCATAGAACAATTTCAGTGCACATTTTGGAATTCCTCTGCCTATTTCTGGGCTGGAGTTAGTCAATCATTTTACTCATCACCTGATATGTCAGAGGTTCTGGGTTAAGTGATGGGAGGATACAAACCTAACTTTCCTTCTCTACCCACTAATAGCAGTTCCCTTGCTCTCACAATAGACAATTAGCAAACATTTCTGTGAAATTGGTAGCAATCATTGTGACAAAGCCATTTCTATCATGGCCCAAGTAACACCGGTTATTGACCTAGTTACAAAGACATTCAATAGCAAGTAACTCTAAACAGAAAAATTTTCTCTCATTCCCCCTGCACTTAAACAGATGCTGAAGAAAGGGAAGAACCAGTGGAAATGGATACTGAAACAAAGGAGTTTTCCCCACAGTTCTATAGTTCTAACCCCAAGCAGTAATTAACTGTTAACCCTTTATCTTTATTCCAAATGCTTTTGCCCTTGAAACACAAAATGTCCAAACAATCATTCAATTAAAGTCAACATAAAAAAAACCACATTAGAAATATGGCCAAAGGTGATAAAATTGGGCACCATCATCTCTCCCTCACCTCTACAGCATCCAAAGTCCTTCCTGAAAGCTGAGAGTAAGATAAGCCAACTCCTGCTCAGGCACAGAGTAAGGTAAGCCAACTCCTGGGCAGGCACACACCTGGGTTGCAGGTTTGATCCCTAGTTGGGGAGCCTATGAAAGGGTTGATGTTTCTCTCTCTCTCTCTCCCCCATTCCTCTCTCTAAGCATGTCCTTGGGTGAGGAATAAAAAATAAAATAAAGTAAAATCTAGAGGTTCCATTTCTGGAAGAAGCATGGTAATGACCTAGTCCGAAATCTGCCCACTTCTCCTAAAAATTACATAGAGCAACAAAGAGAATAAATACCCACCCTAGACCCAAACACCCGTATACAGACTACATCTTCAATGAAACTAGGGAACTAAAAAAAAACCCCACAAATTCTAAATTATGTGAAAGTGAAGCCCCAAACACTACAAACCAAGAAACCACAATGGTAAGACAAAAGCAGGATAAATTATTTAAATGTAAAAAATAAAATCTTGCAGGTACTAGTATAAAACATGGGTGAATGTCTTAACTTTGGAGCAAGGAAGACCTTTCTAACTACAGCTTCAAATCCCAAAGTCATAATAAAATAATTGGAAAAGTCAACTTCTAAAAACAAAAACACAGCTGCATAGCAGAAACACCAGAAGCGAATAAAAAAGACTTTGCAACTCATATCGGAGAAAATGGATTGCTCTCCCTCTACTTTTAAGTATGTTTTTTTGTTGTTGTTTTAATTGATTTCAGAGAAAGGAAGAGAGGAGAGAGAGAAACATCAATGATGAGAGAGAATCATCGATCGGCTGCATCCTGCACGCCCCCTACTGGGGATCGAGCCCGTAACCCAGGCATCTGCCCTGACGGGAATCAAATCCTGGCCTTCTGGTTCACGGGTCAATGCTCAACCACAGAGACATACTTGCCGTCCCCTCTCTCTACTTTTTAAAGAACTCTTAAAAATTGAGAAAAAAAGAGACAAATAATCCAAAAGACAAATAAATAATACAAAAGTTAGTTCACATGGAATAAAAGGCCCTTAAGTGTTTAAAGGGATGCTCACCTTGCTCAGAATACAGCTACCTACATGGAGATGCCAGTTTTCATCTATCAGATTGGCAAATATTCAGAACTTTAACAAGAGAGGATGTTATTAATGTTCACATAGCTTCTTCACACACTTGTGAAGAAACCAATATTCCCACCTTGCTGGTGGGAATGCAAAATGCTACCATTCCATGGAGGGGACTCCAACCATACCCACTACCTTTCTACCACAGATGTATTTACCCACTGATCCAGCAATCTCATTTCTGGCAATAAAACCCCATCTGCCCATAGACCTGCATATATACAAAGTTATTCATTGCAGTAGTATTGTAACAATATGAAAACAACTCAAGTATCCATCAATAAAGGGCTAGTTATATTATGGAGCAGCCACACAACAGAACACTCTATAACCATAAAAAAGTGGGGGGGAGGGAGGTCCAGCTGGCGTGGCTCAGTGGTTGAGCGTAGACCTATGAACCAGGGGGTCGTGGTTCGATTCCTGGTCAGGGCACATGCCCGGGTTGCGGGCTCAATCCCCAGTGTGGGGTGTGCTGGAGGCAGCCGATTGATCAATGATTCTCTCTCATCATTGATATTTCTGTCTCTCTCTCCTATTCCCTTCCTCTCTGAAATAAATAAAAATTATATTTAAAAAAAAAGAGGAAGATCTCCAAGTGTATATACATATGGAACTATCTTTAAGCTGAAAGTTTTTTAAAAAGCAGAATAAAAAATAGCCCTGGCCAGTGTGGCTCAGTCCATAGGAATGTCATCCGTACACCAAAAGGTCCCAGGTTTGATGCCCAGTCAGGGCACATACCTAGGTTGTGGGTTCCGTCCTTGGCCACAGTCCAGGCACATGCAAGAGGCAAACAATTGATGTTTTCTTCTCTCTCTCTCTGTCTCCCTCCTTCCTCTCTCTCTCAAAATCAATGAAAATGTCCTCGGGTGAGGATTTTTTTTTTTAAAGACATCGTGTACACAGTATCCTGCCTTTTGTACATATTCACTCATTAAAACTTATATAATTTTTAAAAATTGAAGATATTCAGATAGCTTTAAAAAAATTAATTGTTGAATAGATTAATATAGTTACATGCTTCAAGTCAAAACTACAAAATTATGTATTCAGAGAAATCTTACTCCCACCCTGTCTCCTGCCACACTGTTCCAATCCATCAAGAGATAATCACTGCCCAGCCAGTGTGGCAAAGTGGTTGAGTGTCAATCCATGAACGAAGAGGTCACCGGTCCCATTGGGTCACATGCCTGGGTTTCGGGCTCGATCCCCAATAGGAAGCATGCAGGAGGCAGCCAATCAATGTTTCTCTCTCTTTCTCCCTCTCCCTTCCTCTCTCTCTAAAAGCAATAAAAACATATTTAAAAAAAAAAAAAAAGATAATCACTGTTGCCCTGGTCAGGTGATTCAGATGGTTAGAACATCATCCCAATACGCCAAGAATGCTGGTTTAATCCCCCATCAGGGCACATACAAGAAGCAACCAATGAATGCATAAATAAGTGGGACAACAAATCAATGCTTCTCTCGCTCCCCCTTTCTCTCTGATATCAATAAATTAAAAGAGAGAGAGAGAGAGAGAGAATCACCGTTGAGAGGACTCTGGGAAAATGGCAAGCACAGGAAGCACCAGTCCTATCTCCCAACCCAAGCTACAATTGCACTGGCAGAATCTGTCTGATATAACTGTTTTGGAGGAAGCAGTCCTATGGGATTGAGCCGTCAGCCTGTGGGATCTGATGCTAACTCCGAGCAGGTAGTATCAGAACTGAACTGAATTGAATTATAGGACTCCCAGCTGGTGTCCACAGAGAATTCAAGAACTGGTTAGTGCAGGGAAACTGCCTACATCTAGTCACTGAAGTGCTGGAAATGTGAGTGTTGAGTAAAGAGAAAAACAGAGGAGAGATTTTTCCTTTACGGAATCTAATCATCATTTCTTCAGTGCTGAAGAAAACTGAAAGAACCTGGGTCCCAGGCCCCCAAATCACTAGTTTTATTAAGACTAACAAATCAAACTGAATCCAAAAGGTAGAATTCCAGATCTATAGAGAGGTATTCATTTGAGTGCTACAACCTATAAAAAGCATTTTACCTTCATTATAGGGCACTGGATTGCCAATCTTTACTCCAACTGCTTCCGCTGATTTCAAAACCTCTAACTCCATCAAAATAACTACTCTCCTAGAAAGGCAAAGAAAGAGAATCAAGTTAGAAAAAAATAAATTCAGAAGCCCTTCACATGACAAGCTCCTTAAAAAGCTTTCCCCCAATAATCATTTTGATAAAAACTATTTCCCTTTGTCAGCTGGTTTTCCTTACTGAATAACTTGAGAAATATATGATGGCAATTCCTACATAAGTATTTCCCTTAATCTTTCACTGCATCATTATCAAGGCTTTTTATGATCACAGGGTTTTCATTTCTCATCTCGTCCCTTAATTAAAATGCAGTGTCCTTACGATGTACCGTATCTTCAAGGAGCAAATGATATGATAAGAATTTAGATTGATAAGCACAAGAATATGTGGCACAACAAGAGACTATCTGTTTTTAGAAACATAACACTTATCTAAACAATTACCTTTCCCGGTGAAAACCAGTATGACTGTAGGTTTCTTTTTAAGTAATTATTTCCTAAGGATATACAGTTCTTTGACCTATTTTTAACTCTGATTAAAACCCAGCAATAACTTCCCAAGGGCCACAGGCCAAAAAAACCCTTTCATGTGGCCTTCAGGCTCTGTATGGTCTGGCCTTGCTAAACTCCAGCTCATCTCACACTAGTTCCCCAAGGATCCCTGCTCTATAGGCACACTGTTTTCTTTCAGCTTCTGGTATATGCTATGCTCTCTCCTGCCACAGGGCCTTTGCATATGCCACTCTGATGGGGTGGCCTTCTCTTATTCTGCCTCTTCTAATACTCATTTTTTGGCTTTCATCTCATATCACTTCTTCAAGAGACACTTCCCTAAACGTTAGTTTAGATCAGGTTTCTGTTATCCTCTTTTCTATAGCCATGATTGCTTTCCTTCAGCTCACTTCTATGGGGTTTAATTAACATATATGAACATAAAATTATTACTATACTAGAGGCCCAGTGCACTGGGAGTGGGAGGGGGGGTCCTTCAGCCTGGCCTGTGCCCTCTTGTAGCCTGGGAGCCCTCAGGGGATGTCCGACTGACGGCTTAGGCCTGCTCTGTGGGGAGCGGGCCTAAGCCACAGTCTGGCCTCCCTCTGCAGGAGGCAACTGGTGGGCCAGTCAGGGGACGGTGCTGGCCGGCCCTGGCCCCCCCCATCACCGTCCCCTCCCTCTGCCCACTGGCAAGCGCCTTGGCTGGCCTGGTGCCGCCTGCTGGCTGGGCCAACCGGTCATTCCGCCATTCAGTCAACTTGCATGTTATGCTTTTATTATATAGGATAGTATATATGCTCATTATTTATTCATGCATGCAGGGGTGGGCAAAAGTAGGTTTACAGTTGTTCATATGGAAAATACAATAATTAATGATACAAGAATAAACTCTGTTTTGCATTCACAACTGTAAATCTACTTTTGCCCACCCCTGTATATATAATTGCATATTCATGATTTGATCATCTATTTCTCCTACTAGACTATACTTTCGATGAGGGCAGGTATCCTCTTGTGCTTAATGCACAACTGGTCCACAGTTGTTGCTCAATACAAACTTGTAAGAACGTCATGATCATATCTGTATCTTAAGAAAACAACATGAAAAAGGAATTTTAGGGAAACACAAGTGGAGGCAGAGAGACCAACAGAAAAGAATTGATGGTAGTGGCAATACTGATAAAAACTTTTAAAAGGTGGATGGGTTGAAGCAATATTTAAGGAGTTATAAACTCAACTTCATGTTGCATCTGATGGCCATTATTTTGAATTTTTATACAAATGGTCAGTTTGTGCTATTTTTTATCAGGTTTTCATATCAAGGTTATATTATTTCAATAAAGTAAGTTTGAAACCATCTATTCCTGAAAATCAGATACAGATTCTCTATAAAAATGATCAGATAGATATTTAGTGGTGGATATTCCCCTCCAAAATTATACAAATTAGTTCCTAAAAGAAGAAAGAAAAAGGAAGGTTTATCAATCACTTAGCATTACCCTAATACTAAAACCTTAGAGAAAACATACTAAAAAAACCCCGAAACGTCTTTTATAATAATACATACAACCTAAATAAAATGTTAGCAAGATGAATCCAGCAGCATATCACAAGCACACACCAATCCAAATGTACAGAAAACACAGATAAAAACACATTACGACTTTATAGGGATATAACCAGCAACATCCAGACAGTGAGAAACTGCATGAGGATAAATACCAAATTATATTGCCCTGACAGGTGTGACTCAGTGGTGGGGGCGTCGGTCTGCACAAAGAAGGGTTGTGGGTTCGATTTCCAGGCAAGGGCACATACCTAGGTTGCAGGTTCCATCCCAGTAGGGGCACGTGCAGGAGGCAACCATCGATATGTCTCCATCACATTGATGTTTCTCCCCCCACCCACCCCCGCCTCACTCTTTCCCTTTCACTCTCTTAAAAATAAAACAAAAACAAAAAAACAAAGGGAAAAATACCCTCTGGTGAGGATTAACAAAAATAAAACAAACAAACAAAAAGAATGAATTGCCTGGTTTCTTCTACAACTAAAACAGTAAGGGGGGGAAAAATTTATGGAGGAGGAACCTACAGATTCAGAGACTTAAAAGAACTAGCGTCCTACTGTAGTGTGAACTTTACTTTGGATCCTGATTCAGATAAATTATTTATACAAACACAGACATGAATAGTTGTTTCTCTCTTTCTCCCCGTTCCCTTCCACTCTCTCTAAAAAGCAATGGAAAAAATATCCTTAGGTGAGGATTAACAATAGCAACAAAAAAGGGTTCCTGTCTTTCAAAGATATATGCTAAGGTATTTATGGATGAAATAATATATGTGAGATTTGTTTCAAAATTATAGAGGAGAATAAACGTGGAAGGGACAAAACAAAACTAGATTGACTATCAGGTGGTATAATTTGAAGCTGTATGATGGAACGTATGGGTATTCATATACTACATTCTTTTTATTAAATATGTTTTTATTAATTTTAGAGAGAGGAAGGAAGAGGGGGAGAGAGAGAGAAACATCTTAGGCTGCCTCCTGCACGTGCCCTACCCAGGATCAAGCCCAAAACCTGGGCATGTGCCCCAACCAGGAATCGAACTGGTGACCTCTTGGTGCACAGGACTACACTCAATAAATTGAGCCACACCGGCCAGGGCTTCCTATATTACACTAGAGGCCCGGTGCATGAAATTCGTGCACGGGTGCCGGCAATAGAAGTGCGAGCACCTGCTGTGGAAGGGCAGGTCCCAGCTGACCTCTGGGCCCTGGGCAGCACCTGGGCCCCCCCGCGCAGCCCCCTCCGACTGAGTCACGGCGCCCAAGTCCCCACGCGGAGATGCAGTGAGCACTGCCGGATGCTGTGGGCCAGTGTGTAGCGTGGGCCTCTGGGTGGCCCAACTGTGCTACACGGAAGCCGGGTGGGCAGTGCACTCTCTCCCAGCCGGCCTTGCAGACCCACTCCTGCGCGAACCCACGGGGAGCCCGACTGGCCCCTGCGGGTCCAGCGAGGGTGCAGGGCAGGCTCCTCGCAGGCACCCGGCAAGCCCTGGCATCCCGGGGGAGGGTAGCAGGGGGAGTGAGAGCAAGCTTGGCAGACACCCCACATTCTCACCACACCTGTTACCAAAAAGAGAGGATAAAAAGGACGTATAACCTCCACGACACTGACACAGAATCGACAAATAGATCAATGGAAAAGATGGCAAACTCAGAATAAATTAAACAAATGAAATACCAGTCTCTCTGTATCTACTTCTGCCACCAATCATCAATTCTCTACAGAGCTATCAGAATAACCTTTTGGAAACTTAAATCAGATCATAGCACTGCTACCCTTCTCAACACCCCACGGCTTCCCATCACACTTAGAATAAAACCTAAACTCTTTACTAAGGTCTCTAGGCCCTTCATGATATGGGCTATCCATTTAGAAAAGAATTAAGCTAATTCCTCCTTCATATCCCAGGTAAAAATAAGTCACAGGTGAAGTATTTAATTCCATGTCACAAGATACCATAAACAGACTATAATAAAGCAGGGATAAAATATTTGAAACTGTTAACAAAAAATTAATCAGTATCACAGGTTTAAAAAGAGTTCCTCCCCCTGCCACAAAAAAACATGAACCAAGTATATAATAAAATGCTATTCAGAGAAAAACTACAAATAGTCAATAAATACATGAAAAGATGCTTGATCTCATTAATAAAAATTTAAATTTTAAAAATGATTAGCAATATTTTTTAAAAATTAGAAATACCTAATATATTGAGAGGGTTAAAGGTATTCATTTTTTAAATAAAAGTTTTAAAGATATCATACCAGCCCTAGCCGGTTTGGCTCAGTGGATAGAGTGTTAGCCTGTGGACTGAAGGGTCCCAAGTTCGATTCCGATCAAGGGCACATGCCTGGGTTGCAGGGCACATACAGGAGGCAGCCGATCAATGATTCTCTCTCATCATTGATGTTTCTATCTCTCCCTCTCCCTTCTCTCTGAAATCAACAAAAACATTTTAAAAATAAAATAAAGATATACCATAAAATTCACCTTTTAAAAGTATAATTCAATGATTTTTAGTATAGTCAGAGTTGTACAAGCATCAACAGTACCTAACTTCACCCCCAAAAGAAATCCTGTGGCTCCATCTCCCGCCCTTGGGTACCACTAATCTAACTTTTGTATCTATGGAGTTGCCTATTCAGAAATAGAAACGCGTACACATTATGAGTATGTTAATTGGTGTACTCTCTACAACAGATGTTCTTTGGCCCCACAATACTAATTCCCAGTATAATCTACTCAGAAATAATAGCATGAGCATGTAATATACAAGGATGATTGTTAAAGCTCTGCCTGGAATAAACCTAAATGACCATCAAAAAGGTAAGGAGTAAATAAACCACGATGTACGCGTACAGGCTCCCGGCACAGGCAGGAGAGAACACAAGGCATGCCACCATGCTGAGGCGGGTGGAATAAGGCAAAGCCCATGGGAATGGAATTCCATCCCTGACTGGAGAGAATGAAGCCTGAGTT